AATAGGAAAGCTGCCTGGGATTGTTTCTTCCTTTGGACCTACGAACTCCAACAGTGATGTAAATCTAGCTTCAGCCTTCAAACAAATTTCAAAGGAAATTAGACAAATGGAAAAGGAAATTAGAAATGAAACATTCTGCTAGAGTTTGGGGTTGGCCTTAGTGTCATGGAACAAGAGTTTTTCTAGCTCTCAGCTTTGCTTCCCAGTTGTCCATACATAAAACTTATTAGAACTTAATCTGAACGGAAATAAAGGGATGCAAGAGGGGAGGAGAAAAGAGGAGAGGAGAGAAAAAGAAAAGGGAGAGGGGAGGGAAGGAGTGAAAGAGGAGAAAAGAGAAGAGGGGAGGGAAGGAGAGAGAAGAAAACAAAGGAAAAGGCAGAAGGGAGGGGCTGGAGGGGCAGAAAGGAGAGAAGGGTTGTTACAGAGCTTTCAACTGACCCTTATTTCAAACTTCGTTTTGTTGAGTGAATTAGAAATGTATATTGGGTTTGCTTTTTTCTTTTTAACATTCAAAGAGTTTTCAAAAATATCTCATCCCCTTATTATTCTATAGATTTTTATAAACTGTCAAAAGAAATATGATCTGCTAAAACCCAAACTCCAGTCAAACTTTGGGAAACAAATTGCCTTCAACAGTTGGCAACAGCATAGCCGGCTACACCTATAGGTTTCCACCTGCAGTAGTAGTTGGTATCTCCATTTCCCTTGCCGTGGGATCTTATATGGCTACTGTGAACTATCCTTTTCTAAAAGTCAACTTTGACTGAAGATTGTCTACCTTCTTGTATAAAATGTTACCAACTTTGGGTCAGGAGATGAGTAAGTGGATAAAGCACTTGCCACACAAATGCGAGGATCTTGGAGCAAATGCCCAAAACCAGGGGAAAGCCTCATGCAGCAGCACAGGTCTGTACCAACAACGTCCCTGGGACAAGACTAAAATGAGCACATTGTTTGAGGCTGAGCTCTGGAGGCCTGGCCACCTCTGTGGGTGCTAGGTCACGTGCTCAGTAACTGGTCTTCCTTTGGCACTATGATTTAGACCTGTTGATTTGACCAAAGTTCACACTGGCTTTAATTTGAAAACGGGTATTTCCTCTTTTTGCAGCCTTGCCTCCCCTTCCCCCACTTGCCCAGCTCCCTTCCCTGCACCTTACACTTGCACTCCTCTCTTTTATATGTCCTTTTGCTCTCTTGCCTGAGAAATGACTGGATTTCACACCTAATTAAAAAAGATTGCATTGCCTGCTGTTCCCTTTCTTGTTCCTTTCTCTTATTCGCAGGCAGCTTTTTATTCTCATGCTAAGTCTTATCCATGGACCCCTGCGGCTTGCAGGACAGGCAGGGGCAAAGTTCCTCTAAAGCTGAGCACCAGGCCCCCTCACCACCCATTTCTGCAGGCAGATTTCACCTTGGGGACTCAGCCCTGCTTCAGCCCCATCCATTTTTGCGCTCACAGAACCGGCACTTAGGAGTAATGACAACCTGACTGTCCACAGGACATTCCTTGAATGTTCCACTGAGTGTCATCACAGACTGACTTTCTTGCTCTGGTACAAAGCCAGGTGGGCAGGTTATTCTTTAATATAATATGAAGAGGCCTATTTTTAATAACACTTCTCTTTGCCATCAGTTTTATTGTCATTCCACTGTGGGTTTCCTTAAAGCATTGCGGCATTTTCAGATACACAAAAATCTGAAAAGTTGTGTAGTTTTGAAGAGTTAGGATTTCCAGAGGAGAGAGGTTAGTTGGTTTGGGGGTGTTTGGGGGATTTTGTGGGGTCTTTTTCTTGGTTATTTTGAATAGCCCAAATGCCTATTCAGTGCCAGTCTCGAAAAGAATGGAGTTAGCATTTTCACACCATTCCTTCCTATACAGTCCTGAATACCATCCAATCAAGATTTGTTTTCAATGGGGGGGACAAACCTACAGTAGGCTATTTCAAATTTATCCCATTGGAATCTATACATTAATGCCCATTGGATGAAAAGGACGTGCTCACAAAAGCCTGGACTTTGCCTTACTGTGGCAGAAACTTTCCCACTGTATTCGTGTTAAAAATAAAAGCAAGCCTGGGAAAGGAATTGCCTCGGCATTGTGTGCTGGAGGAGTGAGGCATGCTTGAATGGAGGGGCAGCCTTTCCATCACATCTGTACCACTATCAGCAAAAGAGAAGTCAGCCTTTCATGGCAGCTCACTGCGGTGGGGGCCCAGTGTACTGACTGAGGGAGATGTTTAGAGTCTTGTCCATAGAAATCCAGAAGACTGATACGGCCAGCTTGTATCTTTGTAGCTTATATCTTGTGTAGTTTTCCTTTTCTTCTGCGGTTCTTAGTGAAGTGACTGAAAACAGTCATATAGGCTATATAGCAAATAGCCTCATTATTTTAGATTTGCTAAATCTTCACTCCAGCTTTGTCAGAGTTTTGTAATGAAATTGTGTGTGTGAAAATATGTAAGCTAAAATAGATTTTTAATGCTCTCTCTCAGCTCTTACCCAGTGTCTATCGTAGCTTTTAGTTTCTCTGTCTCTTTTTCAAATGAGAATGCGCGTAGTCCTAGATTCTTAGTAATTCACATGTCATTCCTCCAGAACCAAGAAGTATGGGTTCTAATCCCAACTCTGCTACTTGTTTGCTTGATGCATACAACTTTGATCAAATCAGGTAGAAACTGTAGAACCATAACTTACTCTTACCTCAAAGAAAACACCAATAATGTCCTGAAATCTACCACAAAAGCTGCAAAAACAAATGATGTCTTCCGTAGAGAATTTCATACTGTGTAAAATGCTATAAGGACATTAACAAGGGTAACGATTAGGAAGGGATGCCCCTTAGAATCCGCTAAAGGAAGTCAGCTGGATCATCTACCATTGAAGTGCAGTCCCTGTGAGTGGCACCATGGTGACATATGCATCGAAAAGATGTCTAATAAGCCCACCTTGCCCAGAGATGGCGATCCTCCTGCCATCTGTGTACAGCCAGCTAATCGCTTTAATGAGAGTGAGGTTTCGGTGACAGTGAAAGCATGTGTAGAAAGTAATACATTTGAGTTCCAGGACAAATTCATAAACAAATAGACATATTGTACATGCTGATGTGCATGTGGACGTGTTTTATGTTAGATAACATTCACTTGAGAGCTGATGGTTGCAGAGCTGAATGGACCCTTGATGCGGCGCACAGGCAATTTCTCTGGGGTTGCTTACTGCAAGATACAGAGATCTAAGTTACAATCCATGTTGAGGCTGCTTTGTTCTGAAAGCCCACTTCCTTGGCCTCTCTCAACCTGATAGCTCTTCTCACCATTGTGACAGAAAAAAACCTTGAGGGAGTGTCCTAGTTCCCGTGATAAAGACCATGTTCCAGACTAACTTGGTAAGCAAAGGGTTTACGGTGTTTTACAGGTTAGAGTCTATTATGGAGGTAAGTTAAGGCAGCATCTAGAAGGGAAACTGAAATCTGAATATATTGTATCTAAAAAAATTTTTTCAAAAAAAAAAATGTAAGGAAGGACAGAGGAAGTGAGCCTCCAGAGGAATGAAGCAGAACCAGCAGGAACATTGTGTGGTCCTTTGAATAAGAATGGCCCACATCGGTTGAGGGATTTGAATGCTTAGTCCTCAGGGAGTGGCAATCCTCGATAATGATTAGGGGCTCAGGCTTTGTTGGAGTAGGTGTAGCCTTGCTGGAGGAAGTGTCTCACTGGGGGAGGGCTTTGGGGTTTCAAAAGCCCAAGCCCAACTCGGTATCACTCTCTTCCGGCCGACGGATCTAGACGTGGAACTCTGAGCTGGTTCTCCAGCACCAAGTCTGCTTGTCTGCCGCAAGGTCCCCGCCGTGATGATAATGGACTAAACTTCTGGAACTGTAAGCAAGCCCCAGATAAGTGTTTTATTTTTAGGAGTTGCCTTGGTCCTGGTGCCTTTTCACAGCTATAGAGCTCTGAGACATGTGCCTCCCAACTCCTCAGCCTCATTTTTCACACTACCCAAGACCATCTGCCCAGGGCTCTCCTCCATCAATTATTAGCTATGAAGAAAATACCCCCGTGGCAACAGGTTAATCTGATGGAGGGAATTTCTCAATTGGGATTCCCTCTTCCCTGGTGTCTCTGGCTTATGTCAAGTTGACAATAACTAAGTAGCACTGGGAGGAAAGATTTTTCTTGGGTCGTGTTGTCAGAGGGTTCAGCGCAGGCTTGCTTGGCCCCGGTGTAATAATGGACATATATGGCAGACGTGGTTCTTCACTGCATTATATACAGGAAGCAAGATCCAGCCCCAAAGGGTCCCTTGACCAGTGATTACTTCCTCCAGACAGGCCCGCCCTCCAACCTTTAACCACCTCCCCAAATAGTGTCTTACTTTTAATCTATTAAGGGCTTAATCAGCTCAGTAGGTCAGACCTTCATAATCTAGTCATCGACGATAATGCCCTCACAGACAGAACCAGAAGTGCTCCTCACTAATCTTTCAGGTACTTCTTAATTCAGTCATGTCTTCTGTCAAAAGGGAGCACTGCAGATTGTAAAGTGACTGTGTAGTTCTGGCTGAAGAATGACCTGTAGAAAGGTATCTTGAGAGACATCCTAGAGGTGAAGTAGAAAATGGGGCATGCCTGGGACTGTGCCCCCCAGACATGTTTTCTTCTCAGCATGGAGCGATGCTAACATTAGCACCTGGCTAGACAGCCTGAAACATAGGGATGGGAATTGGTCAGATGCGCAGAGTTTCCAAAGAGCTCTGCTTCTATTTTCTTCCTTCTGGGGGCTGTTTAATAGTTCTACAAAACATCCTGTTGCTCAGAGTAAGCTTGTATCCCACCTCTAGACCCCTTCCTGCTCTCCAGGCCTAATTATTAACAGTGCTCTCTTTCACTCTGAAAGTGGCCATTTTGAGTAATAAATGTGATCACCTAGTGTGACCACACTCAGCACATCCAGCCCCAGCTTTTTTTTTTTTTTTTTTTTTTTTTTTGGAAACCAGAACATTTATTTTATGACAGATGAACTGGATACTGCAACAGCTGCCCTCTTGGGTTTAGGGGTTGTCCCTTCACGGAATCCATGTCTGAATCTTCGGTAGACAATTTTTAGGTGCCTCATCCGCCCAGTCCAGGTAGTGTTTCGTCTCTTAGCCTTGACAGTCCAGTTATACTTTCTCTTGCACTTAGCAGTGTAGCCGCATTTACCACAGGTAGACTTCTGAAGGTGGTAGGCCTTAGAGCTACAGCGGCGGCACAACGTGTGTGTCTTGTTGCGATGCTTTCTGAAGGATGATGTTCCTTTCGTCATCTTGTTTCTGCCACCAAGGCCAAAGAGACCCAGCTCCAGCCTTTTAAGACATTCTTCTTACCCAGTACTTTAATTCCAGTACTCTGGAGGCAGAGGCAGGCAGATCTCAAGGCCAGCCTCGGCTATGTAGTGAGCTTCAGGACCACCTGAGTGACATAGTGCGAACCTATCTCAAAAAAAAGAAAAGAAAAATCCTTCATTAAGCATCAACAGCACCTGTATCACACAGAACCATCCTTGAAAATGCTCAGACTGCCAGGGACCGTAAGGAGAGTGCAGGTACAGAAAGCAGCAAGAAAATGCCCCTCCTGCAGGCAGATTGCTTTCTGCATCTCTCCCATTATCTGGAAAGCATGGTGGAAGCTGTTTGCTAAACATCTTAGTCTGGGCTATATGATATGGGATATGGTAATATGCCATGTAAACTAGGAAAGGATTAATTTTTAAACTATGAATACTGTTACTGCCTACCAATAAAAATAAGAAGCTTCAGTAGTAACTTGAGGAGAGGTGAAATTAGAATTTCCCAGAGTCCTTGGGATTCAGCCTGGCCAAAGTAAGATGGAGTGCTCCCTGAACTCAAATACATCTTGGTCCACTCTGTTCTTCATGCAGTAGCTACAGAAATAGCAGGCAACAACCCATCTGCTTATCCTTTGAGAAGACAACTTCACCCGAATTTTTTGGATAGTATGAATGTGATATCCCATATAGCTGGGACACTAAAACCAGAGGTGGGGAGAAACTCAAGGCGTTGATTGCCACAGCAGTCTGACCAATTTGTGTATGCATCTTCAAGGTTCTGGCTACTCTTCTGAGACCTGAGTGTTAGAAATCCAATCAGCAAAACCTGACTATGTGCCCTGTCATGTTTTTGCCTCATTGTACTGCAGGTGACATCAGTTGCAAGGGGATGACCGAGCGCATTCACAGCATCAACCTTCACAACTTCAGCAATTCCGTGCTCGAGACCCTCAACGAGCAGCGCAACCGTGGCCACTTCTGTGACGTGACGGTTCGCATCCACGGGAGCATGCTGCGGGCACACCGCTGCGTGCTGGCAGCCGGCAGCCCCTTCTTCCAAGACAAGCTGCTGCTGGGCTACAGTGACATCGAAATCCCGTCGGTGGTGTCAGTACAGTCGGTGCAAAAGCTCATTGACTTCATGTACAGCGGTGTGCTGCGAGTCTCACAGTCCGAAGCTCTGCAGATCCTCACAGCCGCCAGCATCCTGCAGATCAAAACAGTCATAGATGAGTGCACACGCATCGTGTCTCAAAATGTGGGCGATGTGTTCCCCGGCATCCAGGATTCTGGTCAGGACACACCAAGAGGCACACCAGAGTCAGGCACATCTGGCCAGAGCAGTGACACGGAATCAGGCTACCTGCAGAGCCATCCACAACACAGTGTGGACAGAATCTACTCGGCACTGTACGCTTGTTCCATGCAGAATGGCAGCGGCGAGCGCTCCTTCTACAGCGGTGCAGTGGTCAGCCACCACGAAACTGCACTCGGCCTGCCCCGTGACCACCACATGGAAGATCCCAGCTGGATCACACGCATCCATGAGCGCTCGCAGCAGATGGAGCGCTACCTGTCCACCACCCCTGAGACTACACACTGCCGCAAGCAGCCCCGGCCCGTGCGCATCCAGACTCTGGTGGGCAACATCCACATCAAGCAGGAAATGGAAGATGACTATGACTACTATGGGCAGCAAAGGGTGCAGATCCTAGAGCGCAATGAATCTGAGGAGTGCACGGAAGACACTGACCAGGCCGAGGGCACCGAGAGCGAGCCCAAAGGTGAAAGCTTTGATTCCGGAGTCAGCTCCTCTATTGGCACTGAACCTGACTCAGTGGAGCAACAGTTTGGGGCAGGAGCCACAAGGGACAGTCAGGCGGAACCCGCCCAACCTGAGCAGGCAGCAGAAGCTCCAACTGAGGGCAGTGTCCAGCCAAACCAGCTAGAAACAGGTGCCTCCTCTCCAGAGAGAAGCAACGAGGTGGAGATGGACAACACAGTGATCACTGTCAGTAACAGCTCCGATAAGGGTGTCCTGCAACAGCCTTCAGTCAACACATCCATTGGGCAACCATTGCCAAGTACCCAGCTCTATTTACGCCAGACAGAAACGCTCACCAGCAACCTGAGGATGCCTCTGACCTTGACCAGCAACACACAGGTCATTGGCACAGCTGGCAACACCTACCTGCCAGCCCTCTTCACTACCCAGCCCGCGGGCAGTGGCCCCAAGCCTTTTCTATTCAGCCTACCACAGCCCCTGACAGGCCAGCAGACCCAGTTTGTGACAGTGTCCCAGCCCGGCCTGTCCACCTTTACTGCACAGCTGCCAGCGCCACAGCCCCTGGCATCATCTGCAGGCCACAGCACAGCCAGTGGGCAAGGTGAAAAAAAGCCTTATGAGTGTACTCTCTGCAACAAGACCTTCACAGCCAAACAGAACTACGTCAAGCACATGTTCGTCCACACAGGTGAGTGCTGCTTCTCTGAAGAGTTGGCAACAGGGTATTTTAGGGCTGTGGGAGGGACAGAACAGGACAACAGGTAGAAGGGAAGAGATGGAGTCATCTTTCAAATTTCAAAGAAACCCTACCATTGACCCCTTCTAGAAGTCTAGCTATACCCGACATAGGAATGAAGTACCCCAAATCATAAAAGCCCTATATGGAAAAAGGATGTCGTAGAAGTGTGCAGCCTGCAGAAGAGAAGAGTCAGGGCATCATATCCAATACCTAAGTATTGATGTGGTATAGGTTCAAAGCTTGCTCTTTGGAGGCAGATTGTTCAGCCTGGCCCAGTTACTTATTACTAAACTGTGCCACCTGGGAAGAAATCCGAGAGAGAGAGAGAGAGAGAGAGAGAGAGAGAGAGAGAGAGAGAGAGGAAGAGGAAGAGAGAGAGAGAATAGTAGTGATGTGTAGTGATGTACCTTCCTTGTGCTGCTTCAGAGAATTATATTAACATATGACTTAAAGGTGTTCAAACCTAGCATAGTAAGCACTATATAAGTTGTAGCTATTGTTACCATTATTAAGATGGCTGGGAAGAGGAGACATTAAGTTTATTCTATTTGGCTCAAAAAATAAAATAAAATGGAATTGGGCACCTGAAAGCTCTACAGAGAGTCTTTCAACTAAATAAAAGAAAAAGTTGAACAAGCTGCTAGGAGCTGTTTGCTTCTCCAAAGGACTGGGCTTCTGTAATTTAAAGAGAGAATGGATTGTTTCATACAGAGACTGTCCAGGGTACTTGGGAAAGATAATGTTTCTCTGGACTCTACCACACCAGAGACAAAGATCTGCAGACCTCTGAGGATGTGTGGTTATGGCTTCACATAGGTTCTCTTAGAACTATCACCGAGCACAGCAACAATCATATTTAAATTCTTGCAAGAGTCATTCTGGCAAAAATTTGAGTCTAGAATAGTTATGTTAAATAAAAATCATTTGTCGGGAATACTTATATACTTGAATTCTAATACAGAGGAAATATTCACTCCTCAGAGCAGCCTAATTTCTCACATCAGGCTAACACAAATCTAAGAGATAGGGTATAAAGCAAATTTATATAGAGTATACTTTTTATATATAGATACTTTAAATATATATTTACTTTATATATATAGCACATTTATATAGAGTATACTTTACATGTAAATGCTTATAAATACTTATAAGTTATATATATATGTACATTTAAGTAGAGGACTAGAAGAAAAGGGAAGACATTGATAAATAAGAACACTCCATATGCAATTGAAAAACTGAAGCAGCACAATGCCTAAGCTGAACTTTGCCCTCTTTGTAGTTCAGTCTAACTCAGGACGTGATGTCAGGTGTGTGTGACTAGATATTGATCATTTGTGCTTGAGTTTTAGTTTTCACACCTCCTAATACACACAGAGATTCATTGCTGAACTAAGAAAGGAAATTAGGTAGTGGTAAGTCAATATGTTTACTTAGGGCAAGGGCTAATGCAGCCATAACCTGAAATCAATCGAGTTAGCCAAACAGCATTTTTTAGTAATTTATTGCAAATGCGCTCTCAAGTAGTTTTATCCTTTTCATCAGAAAACAGCTGATTTAACAGCCATGAAAATTAAGAATTAGCACAAGTGGGAGAGCCATTTCTGCAAGTATCTCTTTAGGCAAATTTGACTTTGTTAATCTTAGACCATGTACATATGTTCTCTCCTCTTTAGTGTCTTCTATAGTCCCATCAGATAGAAAACATATACATCCTGTTAGATCATGTATTGAAATAAATTTGTAACATAAAACTCACATCTTACCCCAAATTGTCTTTTCACTGTATAAATACATTTCTAAGGAACTTTGTAGTTAATCCAAGTAAGTGGCTTTCCCTGTAATAAAAATCAGAATGGTTTTACACACTTATTTATTACAGAAGCAAAAAACTATAGGTAAAGTCATTCTTATAAACCTGAGTTGTATTCAAAGTGTGGTCTGCACAATGCAGTAAATGATTAAGGTCCTCAGTAAATCTGAAGCTGTTTGAAATATATATATATATATATGTATATGTATATATATATATACATATATATATGTTTGAGTGTATAATATACATACACACACAGGCACTACTTCTGGAAACAGTCTTGTACCTATGCCAACCAGGCATTTAGTTCTTTATAAACAACTTTGCCCTTTCATTCTAGAGTCATTTGGCACTGGCAGTTCAGAAAGTCTATCTATAGCTCAATATTGAACATGGAAGCAAAAGAATTAGAGAAAAAGAAAGCTTGTGCTGGTCTTCTTTAATGGGACAAAGCAGGGTTCTGTCGCACTTCTCCTATCAAGAGACAAAACTGAGGTCAAAATAAAGAAGTGAGAGAGATCAGAAGACAGAGATGGAGGATGTTAGAAGGATAAGCCTTGTGTTACCATGGATATCAAGGCAAGCAACTTAGCAGGGTATCATATATTTTATTGGGAAACTCCAGGTGGAACTTTCTTTTAAGATCCAAACTTAGGGCATTTTACTTTAAAAAAAAATCTATAAATGAATATGGGCTAGCATATGTAGTTTCTTAGCAAATGTTTGTTGAGTGAGTATGTAAATGAATGTTCAAAAATGTGGACATGCTTTCCAGGAGAGCTTAATTCAAGGAACTTATACATAAATGCAATCTTTT